GGTGCATCTCACTGAGCCTCTACCTTCTCTGTTAAGTGAAAGATCTGCTCCCTCCTTTGCAAGATTGTCATTAGAATTCGTGAGGTATTGGCAATAACGGGCCCTCCCATCCTTCCCATTGCTGTTGTTATTACTGTATTCATAGCTTTGTGTGCTTCATAGGTACCCTCTAGGGTCCTCTACGTACAACGTACAACAGCTTCGCAATAGCCAATGTTGGAGGCTCCAAGAATGAGGGTCCTGTGGCCATGTGGAGAGTAAGCAGCAGAGTCAGGACTACCACTCAGAGCTAATTCACCCTTGCTGCTGCCATTCGAACCCAGAGCTCCTGGCCCAAGCAGTCTGGAATGTTCTGCACTGTGCTTCTAGAACAGTGACTTGCCAGGCCAGCTCTGGGCTAGGGCTATCTTGGCTTAGTCAGGAGGGCCTCTCCTCAGGCTTTCTGTCAGGACTCGTGGCTTTGTTCCCACTGGCCCAGGCAATAACCTCAGCATTTTTACTGGAGCCTGGGCTAGGTTTTTAAACAAACTCGATGTAACTTGTGTACTCTGCAATCCAAGCCGACACCCTCAAACTATCCCTGCAGGTTATTAAATGATTAAAGATCTCATTTATGAATTGTCCGTTTTCGAGCAGCTTGAGACGGACGCTCTCACGATTGCTTTGACCTGCTCTAGTGAGAGAGAGAGCAGAGTGTCCCTGACATTCTGGAAGCTGAGCCGCAGATTCAGTGCAGCTCACTGAAGGGGAGACGCTTAGGCTGAAGCTGTCTCCTGTGACCAGGCTCCAGGATTCAATATTTGCATCTCCCTGGAGTTTCAGAAGGTCCTCTGGGGACATTTTTCTTGGCAGGACCTGGCAGTTTCCTCAGTCCCAGCTGTGAGTAAGAAGCCTTTTTTACCTTGAAGCTGTGTTCAGAGGGGAGTTTTGTTGATGGAGCAGGGAGTCACCCCCATTTCCTTTTCTTGATTGTCCTTGTACCATCCAGTAACTTCAGAGGGCCCCTCTCTGCCCAGCTGCATTTAGCTTTGAATCTCAAACAGTGGAACTCCTCCTGCACAAGCTAAGATTGTTTCAGTGGAGCTCACACCCTGGCAGTTCACCCATGAGCCCAGCAGATAAGTTTCATGTGGCCTATGCAGTGTTTGTGAAATATTTGAACAAGTTGCTGACATCTAGAAATCAGGACCTTTTTTTTTTTTTTGGAGACGGAGTTTCTCTCTTGTTGCCCGGACTGGAGTGCCATGGCACAATCTCAGCTCACTGCAACCTCCACCTCCCGGGTTCAAGCGATTCTCCTGTCTCAGCGTCCCAAGTAGCTGGGATTACAGGCATGTGCCACCACACCCAACTAATTTTTGTCTTTTTAGTAGAGATGGGGTTTTGCCATATTGGTCAGGCTGGTCTTAAACTCCTGACCTCAGGTGATCCACCTGCCTCGGCCTCCCAAAGTGCTGGGATTACAGGCGTGAGCCACTGCGTCCGGCCAAAATCAGCACATTTTGTACAAAGATCTGAGTTCTGAGCCCATCTTGACAAAAGGGAAGACTTCAGACAGCACCTTGTAGCAGTGGTGGCTGTGGGTGGAGGGGCTGCCTCCCCAGAGTGTTTGCTGGCCAAGCACTTCACCCTCACCCGGCTCATTGCAGCCGCTCTGGCCTGCTGGTGCTTTCCAAGGCCTTTCCCATCTATGGGCAGCCGACGTGCTGTCCCCCCAGCCCAGCCAGGATCATCAGAGACTGGGCTCCCCACCCCTGCAGCTCCTGCCCGCAGGGTCCCAGCCTGGAGAGCTGACAAGCGAGGCTTGATGTGGCCACCTCAGTAAAGCTCTGGCTCTCCTCCCTCCTGGAAGGCTGAAGCTGGGACTCAGTCTTTCCCAGCTCCTGTGCCTCTACACTGGGTGTGCTTTTATGGCTTTAATTTCAACAAGGGCTTCTTGATATCTTGTTTACGAAGCTGCCAAAGTGAAAAATTCCTGTATTATATGCGGCTCGAAGTCCTGCAGTTATCTCAGCTCCACAACACACAACATCATTATCCCGGCTGCCCCTTATCACTCAGTGCTGGTACGCCTGCAGGATCCTGGTCCACCGTGTTACAGCATCCCCGCCAACAGCCTGCCTCCCCTCCAACTCTACCAAGATCTTCAAACTGCAACAAGCGTCAGCCTCTTCTTGATAGATTAGATATCTCCCGGTGATGTTATGAGGCCTGGTAAATCTTTAAAAGTAACTTTTTTGATTTATTTAACCATCATATTTATCAAGCAAATAAAAAATGTCTCTTCTTGCCTGAGTGCTTGTAGGTGGTAGTGCCCATGCTGGAGAGGTAGGTTAGAGCCCTTGTGGGAGCCCAGGGTAGGTTAGAAGAGGCCCCAGTTCTCTGCCTGGTGACAGGGGAGGGAAGGACATGGAGGCAAGAGTGAGCCACTTGGAAGCTGCACACCTCCTGGGGCACCAGCCACACTTGAGTCAGTTGAACACAGCATACTGGCTGTGATGCTATTCATGCATACTGTGGGGCTGCACATGCCCCCTGGAGGGTGCCGGGCCGGCAGTGCTGGGCAGGCGTTTGCTTCCTGCCCACCAGCCCAGGTCTTGATTTCTCTTATGCTGCACAGTGAGAAATACTGAGCAACATTGTCTTTAAAGCACTTTAGAAATGGGACACTTGAGGTCAGTCACTGTTGATCATGTTTTTTCTCCTTTAAAAGATCATTAAAATCCGTGCCCAGACGGAGGGAATCAACATCAGTGAGGAGGCACTGAACCACCTGGGGGAGATTGGCACCAAGACGACACTGAGGTGAGCCAGTACCCTGGGCCCGCCGGGGCCTCCCCAGCACAGCCAGGGCTCTCACTGGGGTCATTCTGGACAATAAAGGCAGATCCCTTCCTAGGGCACAGGACTGTATCCATCTGTTCTTCCTGGCGTGATGGGTGCCAGGGCACTTGAGTTTCAAATGCAGAGGATTTATCTGATGGTGTTTAACAAGCTAGAGTAAGGGTGAAGTCCCTGTGGCCTGCAGCAGATGCTCCCCTCTGGTGGGAGTGCTTTGACCCTGGGCCTTCTTGTGGCAGAGAAGATGCATAGAATTAGAGAGTAGGGACCATGTGGCAGCTAATTAGCCAGGGCCCTGGCTCCTGTTCTCCCAGTGATGTTATGAGGCCTGGTAAATCTTTAACTTTTTTGATTTATTTAACCATCAAGCAAATAAAAAATGTCTGGGTGGTGGGTATGGAGAGCCAGGGAGGAGCGCAGACATAGACAGTTCTCCAGCAACTCAAAGGCAGGACCTGCAGAGCATGTCCCTTCACAGTGGCCTGACTCATTGTAAAATCATTGCTTCACAGTCCTCAGCCCTTCCCTACATCCCTTTAGTCAGTTCTTGTTCCTGAGGTTGAAGGCAGAAATGCAAGCTATGAGGTTTGGATGAAGGGGTACTTTTTAAAAACGGCAGAGTCTTCATGCCTTTGGATGGGCATGTACTTCCAGCTGGCTGTGTTTTTGTTTCCCTGCCATGTTAAATATCCCTATCTGTTGGACACCTGTATACATTTAAGTTTGCAGTCCTTTTCCAGTAGCAGTGATGTTACTTCCTATTGGAGGATTTGTAGACTGTACTAAAGATTTGGGGAATAGCACTTATGTCTTCTTGGTGGCTCCTGGCCCCTCTCTGATGGGGTAATGACTACAGCTCTCTGAGAAGTAACAACTTTGTCTCCCCTTTTCTGTGCTCATATCAGCTGGCACAAGCCTAGCACTGGGCTCTGCTCCTGGTGTCAGTGCTGCCTGCTGATTTGGGGGAAGGGGCTTCGGTGGCCCCAGTTTCACTCCAGCCCTGGCCTCTGTCCACTCTAGGTACTCAGTGCAGCTGCTGACCCCGGCCAACTTGCTTGCTAAAATCAACGGGAAGGACAGCATCGAGAAAGAGCACGTCGAAGAGATCAGTGAGCTTTTCTATGATGCCAAGTCCTCTGCCAAAATCCTGGCTGATCAGCAGGATAAGTACATGAAGTGAGATGGCTGAGGTTTTCAGCAGCAAGAGACTCCCCAGGTGTGTCTGGCCTGGGTCTGGCCTGTGGGCGCTCGCCCCTGGGCTTGGGGCTGCCGTCCCCACTCAGGGCGTGGTCTACAGCACTGTCAGTTCAGTGTGGAAAGCATTTCTTTTTAAATTATCATAACTGTTCCTGTGGTTGCTTTGAAAGAACCCTTCCTTACCTGGTGTGTTTTCTATAAATCTTCATAGGTTATTTTGATCTCTCTCTCTCTAAGTTTTTTAAAAATAAACTTTGCAGAACAGTTTTAGTTGTAGAGTCATTGTGAACATACCATAGGGAGTTCCCATGTATCTTGTACCCAGTTTCCCTTCTTGTTAACATGTTACATCAGATAGCACATTTGTCACGGTGAATGACCAATACCGATGCATTATTATACTGCATTCACATTTTCTCAGTTTTATCTAATGTCCTTTTTCTGTCTCAGGATCTCATCCGGGATAACCCATTACAACTAGTTGTCATGTCTCCTTAGATGCCTCTTGGCTGTGACATTTTCTTACATTTTTCTTGTTCTTGATGACCCTGACAGTTTTGAGGAGGACTGATCAGGTATTCTGTAGAACATCCCTCAGTTGGGGTTTGTCTTGATGCTTTTCTCGTGAGTAGACTGGGATTGTGGGTTATGGAGAGGAAGATACAGAGGTGAAATGCAGTTCTCATCACATCATACCATGTGTGGTTCTCGTCACATGCTAACAACATGACTCATCGTTGATGGTGACCTTGACCCTTGATGGCTGAGGTCATGTTTGTGGGGTCTTCTCACTGTAAAGTTACTCTGTGCTGCCTTTCCATACTGATTTCTTTGGAAGGAAGTCACTATGTGCAGCCCACACTTAAAGGGTGGCGGTTATGCTCACCTCTAGAGAACTGAATATTTACCAAAATTATTTGGGATTCTGCATGGAAGATTGTATCAGAATGGACTCATGGAAGTTCATCGTATACTTTAGTAGATTTATTTTGTTGCTCAAATTGAGCCAGCTTTGGCCAGTGAGAGCTCTGTCAGTTGGCTCATGTGTCCCTCTGATGTGTCCCCATCTCTCTGGCCGCATCTCTGGGTTCACCCACTAAGTAAGCAGCAAGGGCAAGTGCAGCACTGGGCAGTGCACTTGACTGGAATGTGCCTTCCCAGTAGGATGAGCGCTGCGTTCTTGCCCTTGCCACGCCTGTCCTTCCCTGCCGGCTCTGTGGTGCCTGAGGTAGGGCTGAGCACCCGGACACTGTTCCTACCACTTGCCCCTTGTGCAAGTTCAGACTGGATCTCTGTGCTGTTATGATATGGGAGGCAGGGCTGACCAGGATGGTCATCTTGGTTCAGTGCTTTAGTCCAAACTAACAATGAGCTCCTTGTGGGGCAAGCAGCATTGTCCTTCCATTAGGGACAGTCCCCTGTAGTCATGTCAAGGGGACAGTGGGAGGGGGCGGAGATGATGCTGGGGATCCCACCTAGCCTGAGAGGCGCCAGCCTGTCCCTGCTGCCAGTGTGAATCTTCTCCCTGGGCCTGGCCCCTGAGGACCCTGACATGCACAGCAGTGGTGGTAGGACCCTTCATGGAGTCAGCTGTGCATGTGGCCCATGCTGGCTGCCAGTGTCCTCTGAGGCTGCACTTGTCTTTAGCCTCCCCACTCGAGCCATGTTAGACAAACAGAAGAGAGATGCAGCAAGAGCTTATTGCACCAGGGACTGTGTTCACACTCTGCGTTCCATGTTGCCTTCACGGTAGCCTGTGAGACTGGGATAGGTGTGCTAGCCCACTTCCAAGTCCACTTCCATAGAGGAGGAGGGGCAGTTCAGGCAAGTCCCTTGCCCAGCTAGTGAGAGACGGAACCAGGATTTGAAATCAGGCTGTTTGGAACCTGTGTTCCTAACACCTGGGGGCCATACTGCCTCTTTCTGTGTTGGCATTTAGTGGCAGCTAGGAGCTGTCAAGATCTGACCTTTCTACCAGGCAGGTGAAGGAAGCGGGGTCCAGTGTGGAGAAGGTGACCCACCTAGAGGACAAGAACCAGGCAGACCTCTGCTCCAGCGGGGCCTCTCACTTGGGCCCCAAGCCTTTCATGGTGTTTAAGGAACAGGATGGAAGTGGTGCTGACAGCAGATCTCCCAGCCGTGGGTGGGGACAGAGTCTTCTTCGGCTGCCCAAGGTACCAACATCCAGAGCAGCCAGGTGAGGAGGGGACAGTGGTCTCGCTCTTCCCAGGCCACAGACCTTTGGTTCCTGCTCCTCAGGTATCCTAGCTGAGGTGGTGCCCAGAGAGCTGGCCCAATTCGCTGGTCTGTGCTCCAAAGTGAGGGAGATGGTTCTGGATAGGTAGGAAGGTGAGATTATTTTAATTTTCCTCCTAGTTTTTCCAGCAAGGTCTGTGATTATTACATTAATCTTCTAGGCGAAGTTTTTACGACTGATCCCTCGCCGACTATGAGAAGTTTCTCCATCCATTACTAAGAGGGAAACAGACCCTGGTGGGGAGGAAAATATTTGTTACATCTTATCAGGCTGACACACAATCTAACAACAATTACAGCAGCCCCATTTTTTGCACTATTTCAGCTCCAGTGTGAAAAATTGTTGTAATATTAAAGTGAGGCAGGGTGGGGGCTGGTCATTGGAAGTGGTTGAATATTCCAGGCTCTCAGCCCAGGCTCTCTTGGGTGCCACCCAGGGAGCCGATTGGGTGGCTGAGGAGAGGGAGGGAGGGATTTTCACATAAATCCCAGCACCCTGTCTCGTGTGCTAATGGCCCCAGAGATACTTGTGAGACTGGGAAGGGCTCTTGAAAGACGCGTCCCTGGCCGTGGCAGGGAAACCGCCTTGTGCCCTGCCTCATTTTCTCAGTGCAGACACCTTCTTACTGCAACATGTCTTAGGGTTGCATCTGCCAGATTGATTGGTAGGACATTTTGTTTTTTAGGACTAAGTGGATCGTGCTCTCACACTAGAAAGTGACTTCTTGGTTAGCAAACCTTTCTTAGCCATTTGTATAATAAAATGGGGGTACAGAATGGGGGTGGGGTTGCACTCCCAGTCGACCTCTCTCTCTCAGAAACTGTGGCCAGCCCTGGGCGGAGCAGCTGGGGTACCCCCCTGCTCTGGGAGGGCTGTGGGCAGAGGCGCAGTGGATGGGGACCAAGCGGTTCTGGGGCTCAGCAGGGCATGGCATTGATTGCATTTTCCTCCTCTGTGTGGCCCTTGGTCCTAGCCTCGTGAGTCTTTGGTTTCCTGATGTGAGAGTGGGAAGTTCATATGCCATAGACCCATGTGAGGACTTGGTGAAGTGACCCACATGTGGCTGCATCAGGTACCCAAGAGACTAACAGGCAGTAAAGAGTTCCTGATCCCTGGCCCACTTGGAAAGAGGTCACAGTTTGTCAAACTGGAGCAAGCAGCCTGCTAGGCCTGCCCCTCCCTTTCGCAGACAGCTGGCACTTGGAAGGACCCTTAGGATCCCCCTGTGTTTGGAAAAAGCCCTGCAGCCCAGAGGGGCCAGCACTGGCTCAGGGCCACACAGCCCAAGAGCGGAGTGGATAGCACGGGGCAACTGCCAGAAACAACGCACTGCTTCTCACCGGGGCCCTGGCATCCCATCCTGGGTGAGGCTCAGCTAGGGCTGAGGCAGCCAGAGAGGGCGAAATGACCACCCCCTTGCCGCGACCAGCGCTGGTGTTTGTCAGGTCAGACCTGCTCTCATTTGGTGTCTGGAAAAGAGGTCCCTCGGGAGGTAGAACAGTGTTCACCCCTCCATTCATGGTCATCCATTCATTCTCCACACAGAAGTTCCTCTTCCTTGCTTCCTCCAGTGTGCGGCCACTCCCCTTCCATTCTGGGGAGAGCAGGATAGGGGGTGAGGGAGTCCTGGGCAGCGGGACTGGGGAGCTCAGGGCGCAGGGTGGGCCACGCAGTGGGGCCCCAGAATGGGGAAGGGGTGGGCCGGCCGCGGGGACTGCCTGTCGGCCCCTGCTGCCCTGCCGCCCCTCCCCGTCACTTGGCGGCAGGCACGGTGATTAATGGCCGGGCCATGCAGGCCGGGCCGCCATCAGCGCGCGTCTAGGCGATGGATGCGGCTGTCAGGCCGGCCCGGCCCGCACTGACCCCCGGGCAGGGTCCCGGCGCGATCAATGGGCGGCGCGCGGCGGGCTGCGGCTGGGCCGGCGCGATAAGATGGGCCGATGGGCGCCCGCCGATTGCCCGCTCCGTCACCCGCCGTCACCGTCACCGTCACGCCGCCAGCGCGCAGATCACTGCGCCGTCAGCGCCGCGTGATTAATGGGGACGCCGGCAGCTGCGGGGAGGGCGCGGGCACGCGGACCCGGCACCCAGAGGGACACGGTGGGGTGCGGGGTGCGCGCTGGGACGCCACACACAGCACACTGCACTTACACTGGAGCCACGTGCAGGGAACGGGGGACACGGCTGGGTGCGGGGTGCATGCTGCAGGTCTGCACACGGGGCACACGGTGCAGGTTTTCACTGGGCTGCGTGAGCGCGTGTGTAGTGGGTGGAGGTCCCGGTGCAGCCATAACACAAAGGCCTGAGTTACCTAGGCCTGAGGGGTGGGAGGAGGAGGGACCACACCTGCTGTGACCTCTCTACCCCAACCCCTGCCTGGCCTAGGCCTCAGCCACCAGGTCCACCAGCCTCTTCGGCCTTTACAAGCCTGCCCACTGTCCCAACCATCTTTGAGAACCCAGACTTGACTGTCAGGACCCCGACCAAAACCCTTCCACAGGTCCCATGGCTAAATCCCAGGTTCCCCACCCTCCGGGCAGACCCGCAGGAATGCCGATCCTCGCCCCTCCACGCCGGCCCGCCCTGCTGTGCTCCTTTAGCAGACATCGCAAGTGGTCCCATCCCCCAGAGCTTCGTCCCTGGGTCGGGTCATGCTGTTGGGGACGCCCTTAGCGCTCTCAGTGCACGGTTGGCCCTGCTCGCGCCCCACTGGGTGACGGGGGCAGGAGCCGTCTGCCCCACCCCACCCACCCCCCGCCCCAGAGCGCACAAATCCCCACTCGAAGCGACCCGCCTCTCAGGCACTGCCCCTCCAGAAGAGCCCTGGGCCGCCGGGACCCCCTCGGGACTCGAGAGGGAGAGGCTCGCCCAACCCAAATACCCACATGGCGCTAGGGAGGAGCCGCGTGCCAGGTGTGCAGAGAGGGGGCCGGAGGGCTCCCCAAAGCCAGTGACAGGAGCGCAGCAGGGACAGTTGGGCGCGAGTGTGGGACTGACCCGAAGCCCGAACTGCCAAGGGGAGCGAGACAAGGGGAAGGGTGGGGGGCCCGGCTGGGTGGACTGGGGCCTATCCCATGGGCGGTGGGGGTCTCAGGGCCAAGCGGCAACGGGGACAGTGCCAGCCGCTCTCCCTTTTCCCCTCGAAAACCACAGCCTCCCCAGGGCCCCGCGGCGCCCAGCGGGAGCTTGCGAGGACACAGCGCCCCCGCGTGGGTGGACACGCACAGAGCCGCGCCCGTGGCGTTTCAGTCCCAGGCTCCGCCCCCGCCGCGCTGCCCCCATGGGGGCGTGGTCAGGCCTAGCCCGGGGTTCCGAGATTCCAAGTCACACCTAGCACGACTTGGGAAGTCGCGACGGAAGTGTGCGACTTCCCAGCAGGAGAGGTTGAAGTCCCGGCAGGCAGGGAGGAAGGCGTGTGTGTCCCCGCGTGCATGCGGGGAAGGAGCAGTGGGGGAAGGCTGAGTTGGGCTTTCTTTTTTTTGTTTTTTGTTTTTTGAGACGGAGTCTCGCTCTGTCGCCCAGGCTGGAGTGCAGTGGCGCGATCTCGGCTCACTGCAAGCTCCGCCTCCTGGGTTTACGCCATTCTCCTGCCTCAGCCTCCTGAGTAGCTGGGACTACAGGCGCCCGCCACCGCGCCCGGCTAATTTTTTGTATTTTTAGTAGAGACGGGGTTTCACCGTGGTCTCGATCTCCTGACCTTGTGATCCGCCCGCCTCGGCCTCCCAAAGTGCTGGGATTACAGGCGTGAGCCACCGCGCCCGGCCTGGGCTTTCAATTAAATGTACATACACTTAGTTTTTTGATGGAAAATTGCCAAAGGCGTGTAGCGTGAAAAACCTCCCTCCACACCTGCCCCCTGCCTCCTGTTCCCTCTCCAGAAGTGCCTGTCTTACACCCGTGTGTTCCTCTAGAGATGGCCAGGACATGCGTGGGGCAGCACATACTCACAGCACCTTCTCAACACTCATTATGAAACATGTCACATGGAAAACTGCAAGAATTACAAGCGATCGCCTCTCAGCCTTTGGCTAAGATCAAGTGTAGTATGTGTTCTTATCAGTTTAATATCTGCTGTCTGAGGACAGTATATTAAATGGATTTTTGGAGCAGGGAGATGGAATAGGACCTTGCTCCTTCCACTCCATGTATCCACCTGGTATTGCAGTACCTCCAGGAATAGTGCACCTTCTTTGGGGGAATGAAAAAAAGGATTTCAGGTGAGCCCCCATATCCCTGTTGTCTAGGCACTGCCCATCCCTGTCTGCCTGCCAGTCTGCCTTGTCAGTCTTCTGTGCATTTCAAAGTGAGTTGCAGACACAACCACCTCCGTAGTCAAGCACGTGTATCTTTACCTAGAGTTCAGTACTTGATTACAGTTTTTTAATTTTTTTTTTTGAGACGGAGGTTTGTTCCTGTTGCCCAGGCTGGAGTGCAGTGGCGCAATCTCAGCTCACTGCAACCACCCCCTGCTGGGTTCAAGTGATTCTCCTGCCTCAGCCTCCCAAATAGCTGGGATTACAGGCACATGCCACCATGCCCAGCTAATTTTGTATTTTTAGTAGAGATGGGGTTTCTTCATGTTGGTCAGGCTGGTCTTGAACTCCTGACCTCAGGTGATCTGCCTGCTTTGGCCTCCCAAAGTGCTGTCATTACAGGTGTGAGCCACTGTGCCTGGCCACTTATTTTTAAATGTAAAAAATACAGTGAAATGCACAAATCCTAAGTGGAGCATTCCATGAGTCCTGACTAATGAAACCAAACTCCAGTGAAAGATATTACTATTGCCCAGAAAGTTCCTTGTGCCAATCTCTAACACACTAGAGGCAACCACTGTTAGATTTTTTTTTTTTTTTTGCCATAGATTACGTTTTCCTGCTTTAGAATTTCATGTAAATGAGATCATACAACATGACTTGTTTCTTTCACTTAGCTTTTGAGCTTCGTCAATGTTGTGTGTATGGGTAGTTTGTTCTTTTTTATTGCTGGGTAAAATGCCACCGTGTGGATCCACCACATGTATCCATTGGTGGATGGTCATCTAGGCTATTCCCTATTTTTCAGCTATTATGAAATTCTGTACAAGTCTTTGTATAGGCATACATTTTCATCTTGGGTTTCAATACCCAGGAATAGAATAGCTGGGTGTAGGGTGTGTGTCTAGTTTTATGAGAAATTGCTACGCCTTTTCCTGATGTAGTCTGTTAGTTGCTTCCTACCCCGCTTTTAAACACAAATAGGAACATACGCTGTTTCTTGCTTTCTGTATTTTTCCTTGACAGCATGTCTTGGAGATTCTTCTAACTCAGCATATAAAGAATGTCCTCCTAGTTCCTTTCCACAGGGAGGAGCTGCTGTAATTTATTCACCCCCCTCCGATAGGCATTTAGATGTTTCTAGCCTTATTGAGCTGTGCTTTGAAGGATGAACAGGAGCTTGTCAGGCAGACAGCAGAGGGAACAAGGCCCACAGGTTAGACAGACACTGCAGAACCCTTTCTGCTGGGGCATGAGCTTTCGAGGGGAGAAGCACCTTCTGTTCCATTTCCCCATGGGGCTCAATAATGTTTGCTGTGTGGAAAGGAGTGGGTGATGTGGCCCTAGAACGGATTGGGGCAGGGGAGTGAGGTGGGCACTACCACTTAGGGGCACACCTGGCTCTCCAGAACCAGGCATTGGTGGGTGCTGAAGTTCAGGTTGGGGCTTCTGCTGACTCTCGGACAGTGCCACATGCCCAACTCCTGGCCCTTGTCAGGAATCTGTTGCTCTTCCCCAGGCCATGGGGCTCAGACCCCTCAGGAATGAGATGGGAGGCTCATACCAGCCTTCCTGAGGACTTCATGCTGGCCTGGCTTCAGCAGGAGCAGGCTGGGGAAGTACCTGCAGGCAGGACCAGCAACCAGACAGGGACTTGGGGTAGGAAGTGAGCCTTAGGCTTTTTGTCCTGGCTCTGGAGCTAAGTGACTTTTGGCTGTACTCTATTTCCCTAGGCCTCAGTTTCTTCACCTATAAAATGGACAGACTTGTTTCCTCCTGGGCCTCTAGTGGGGTGAAGTGAGAGCACATGTAGGAAGTGGCTGGGACAGTGCCTGCCCCAAGGGAAAAAGAAGAGTAAGCCTTACCACCCATCTCTGAGCATGAGTTCCCTTTGCACAGGAAGAGCCAGGTGGAGAGACGCCACAGTAAGCCACACCAGGGCCTGCCATCTCGAAGCACGCGTGGCTGCTGGAATGTGGGCTCTGTTTGCCCTCAGGTGAGAGGGGCCACGGCCACAAGTGCAGCCAAGTACCTGAGGCACGAGAGATGGCCTACTGCTTCCCTGGGGCGGCAGGTTTTCTAACATATTTATATTGGCAAGCACCCTGCCTGCCTCAGCATTTCACAGCGCCTGGCTGGTCTGGAGCCTGAGGCCACGTGCTGTGCTCCTGTCCAGGGCTTCCCTGAGCCTGCTCCTGGGGCCAGCAGGTACAGAGGGAGCGCAGGGCAGACCTGGCTGCACATGTGTCCTGGCAGTCTCCAAACAGTGCTGAGGTGTGGCTTCTGCAAGGCCAGGCCCACACCTGTCCATCAAGTGGTCTCAGAGGGACCATCCTGCTCTGACCCAACTCCCCTTGGAAATCAGTTTCTAAGACAAGGTCTAAGACTACAAGTAAATACTGAGGCTGGAGCCCACCTAGGAGTAACGACCTCCCACAGCCCTGGTCAGGCCTGCCCTGGGGCTGCCCTCCCACCTACCCCTCAAGTTCATGAGGAAGCACCAGGCCCGGGTGGTGGGGATGGCAGGTTTGGGGTGAGGCCCTGTCCAGGATTGGGGAGAGTGGAAATGTGGCCTACCACTGGGGGCTTGGTGTGGAAACA